TGGGTACGAGGCGAGGCTGGGGCTGCTGGGACTCACCTGGTTCTGCACACCCAGCTGGGCTCCGTAGAGCAGCAGCACCTTCATAGCTCTGTGGTGGCCATGTCGCACAGCCTCATGTAGAGCTGTGTCCCCCTCCTGTTGAGAGAGGACCTTGGTGCTCTCCCGGGAACACACCTGTGCCTTTCTGTTCCCTTTTTCCCCCAGGAATGTATCTCCTAAATTCTAACGGACTCCACTAGACTTGCAACCAGGGGAGCAATGGGCAGCGGGAACTTGTTTTAGGCTAACCCTCTGACCCTGTTCCCAAGGCCACCTTTTTCTGACTTCCCAGAGAGCTAAGGCAGCCCAGTCTAGGCGCTCCTGTTGCTTCTTTTATGCTAAGCCCTTGTCTCACCATCCCCAGCTTTAATAAAAACACCTTAAAAAAATAAGGGGACATCATCTTCATAACCTCCCCAGCCACAGGAAGGGTTGGGTTGGCAGGCGCTGGCCTGAGCTCAGGTGCCCTTGGTTCCTGTCCCCCGCTGGAGCTGCCTCAAGCGCCTACCTTGTCCTGTGCGTCAATGTGGGCTCCACACGCAATGAGGTGCTCCAGGCACTCACAATGCCCTGTGCGCACGGCCACGTGCAGGGGGGTGCTCCAGATCTAAGGGGCGAGTGAGACTGTGTTGCTCCTGAATGGCAAGGCTCCACCCCAACCCCAAAGGGCTGTGCTTCCTTCAAGAACAGCTCTGTGCACTGCCTGCCAGCTCCTAACAGGCTGCCCACTGTGGTGTGCCCTCACCTTGTCCCGTGCATTGACCTGTGCTCCATGGTTAAGCAGATGTTTGAGGATGTCCAGGTGTCCTCCACGGCAGGCCCAGAACACAGGTGTCCTGTCCAGCTGCAAAACAAAATCACTGAAGCCCTCTGATGCCCTGTGTGCCAGGTACAGCCTCTGCCAGGAGGATGAGCCTTCCCCGATGCTCACCAGGTCACGAGTGTCCACAGTGGCCCCTGCCTCCAACAGCTTGTTCACCAGCTGGCCGTGACCCTTCAGGCAGGCCCAGTGCAAGGCTGTGCGATGCAGCTGGTGAGTGGAGAAGGGAGGTTAAGCAGAGGGAGCACGGCACCTATAGGGGCCCCACCCCCAATCCCAGTCCCAGAGCTGGTGCCCTGGACAGAGCTGCCTGCTCCTAAATCATGTGAAGAGCGCCTCCTTCCCAGCTCAGGAGGCACCTGGTATCAGTGTCCCATAAAACAGAAAAGCCCCGTGGTTCCCTAGGCTGACTACAGCACCCCGATGACAGCACCCCTGCAGCTGCTGAGCTGCTCTCTGATTCGCCCTACTCTGCTACCTTGTCGTGGGCATTGGGGTCCCCTCCGTCGGTCAGGTACTTGTCAATCAGGGCCTCCCGGTTCTCAGCAGCTGCCTTCAGGAACGTCTCCAGGTCCACGTGCTCCAGCTGGGCCTCAGGCTGTGGCTGGGTAAGTTAAGGACAAGAAAATCAATCCGCAAACTGACGTCACACTTTACTCACACCAAGTGGTCCCCACAGAGACACTGTCAGCTTGTACAAATGATAGGTTTCTAAAAACCTACCTCCAGGAGGTTCTGGAAGAATAGTTGTTGGGGTGGGAGGAGTTAGGGGTTGACTTGTGCGCCCCCAAGTTCATATGTTGGAAGTCCTGACCCCCTGAACCTCAGAATGTGACCTTATTTGGAAGCAGGTCGCTGCAGCTATAGTTAAGGTGAGGTCACACTGGAGCAGGGTGGGCCCTAATCCAGTATAACTGGTGTCCTTACAAAAAGGAGACATTTGGAGTCAGAGACATGGGAGAAGGCCATGTGGACACGAGGCAGAGATCGGGGTAATGCATCCATAAGCAAAGGAGCACCGAACTTTGCCGCCAACCCCCAGGAGCTCAGACGGACCCTCCCTCACCCTGATCCTAGACCTCTAGAACTGCTGTTTATGCCCCAGCAGCTGCACACAGGCTGGGGCTCCAAAACGGGCTGTCCAGCTCAGCAGTTGCTGCGGCGCAGGTGCAGCTGGCAGTGTCCACTCTTCCCCAAGCCCTCCCATAGGCGCAGGAAACTTCCTCAGGGACTGTCAAGCCTTGGGTGTGTGCGCCCCCGCTCCTGCCCCCCAACTTCTCACCTACCTTAACCACGGGCTCAGGTGCCCTAGGGGGGACTCTGCGTTTCAGTCGCTTTTCTCTTCGTCTTTGAACCAAGTTTTCCAAGTCAGCCAGACTGTCCAGATTAAGTCTGGAGCTCTTAAACCTCTCAGCCTGGGGCAGAAGACAAAAGACCATGCCAGCCATCAGCCAGGGTGATGGGTCCGGGCAGGCTCTTGTTATCCCGTCTCTCCTGCCCACAGCAGGAGCACCAGCACTCTGGCTGCCACCCCAGCCTCTGGCTCTCCGGACCCCCACTGCTCAGGGCCCGCCCCACAGGCCACCCCAGCGTCACTCACTCTCCTCCTCTTCTCTTCTTCCAGCCTCTGCCTCTCCTGGGCCGCGGCCTCATGGGGCCCCAGCCTCCACTCGCCTGGCCAGCCTCCAGGATCAGGAGCTGCACGTCCATACCGTGACACCTTCCCTTCTCTTTCTCCACTTACCTGTAGGACAGGATAAGGATGGTTAGGATGGGTCCGTAGAGAACCGAGCTGTGCAGTGGGGGTCCTGACAAGAGCTGAGCCTTCTCAATGCTCTGGGTGCGGGGCTGCTGCTGGCTCTCACCAGCTGTGCCTGCCCTGCCCTGTCAGCAAGGGCACAGGGTTGGGGGCATGACCCACATCTATTTATAGTGCTGGGCCTGTGTCCAGGGGAGCTCAGGGCACATGACACCTCAGCTTCCCTCAGGGGTTGCTGCCCTTACATTCCTACCAGATCACGCCACACTGCCACCCCACCCCAAGCTCAGAGGGACAGAGGAGATTCTTCCTGGGAGAGTCTGAATTCCTGGGTTCCAGTCTTGGCTCTTCACAAACTGTTTCTTCATCAGTAAAATGGTACAGAACTAGCACTTAGCTCAGAGCTGTGCTGTGCAGAGCCCCCCACGATGCTCCACCCTGCTCCTCCCTGGCCCCGCCCCCAGGACATCAGGAGCTGGACACACCAAGGAAACCAAGGAACGAGTGTGTTGAGAGGAGAGAAAGGTTGGGATGACAGGATGGCAGGGCCTGGGGCTTCCAGCCACAGGGAACTGTATTCCCCTTCAAAGCAAACGCTGGCAACCTAACACGTAGGCCCTGCAGCCCCTCTCACAGAAGCTGTACCAGGCTGGTGCTTGCTGGGCACTGACACCAAAATGCGTCCCAAAGTGTCACTGGTGGTGCCGCTTCTCTCAATGCCCAGGGAACTAGAGAGCACCCATCTCCCTCCCTAACCAGGCAGCCAGCCTCCCAGCCCATTTCCAGAACAATAGCTATCCGGGCAGTGGAGCTAAACCAAGACCAAGCTACAGTCGTATTTTCCAAGGTAACCTGCCATTTCCTTTCCTCTTTAGCTATCACAGTTCAGTGCAAAACTCACTCAACATCTTTCACACTGCTTCCCTCTCTTGCTCCCTAACCCCCTCTCTCACCACCTCACAAGAGAACAAGGCAGCCACACCAGGGAACTGCCTGTTTCAGCTCTGAAAACCCGATGCTCAGACCACAGCAGTGGCCTGCCCTGCTCATTTTTCTGACAGCCTGGGGGTGCCCAGATGACTGCCTGCCCTCCTGCCCCTGTTCCCACATTCTTACCAACTGCTGGACGCTGATGACATCCATGGTCCCCCCGCTCTCCAAACCCCCAGTGAGAAAAGCTGAGCTGTCAACCCTTTTATAGGCGACCTGCCCCTGAGGGCAGGCAGGGCGGGACCTAGGCTTGCACCTGAGCCAGATGACTCTGTGGCTCTGTAACATCCACCAAAATACCAGTGTGGGCCTGTAGCCACGCAGGCAGGAGGAGGAACTGTCCCAAGCTGAGTCAGGTGCATCCTCGGACACCCACTATCCGGCACCGATGTCACCCCCCACACCTGCCCCAGAGCAGTTCCACCATCGACACATGTCCTGGGGGGCCTGGGCCACTAGCCCAGATTCAGGGGGAAATAGTTCCACTTTCCTAAGTCCAGACACCACTTAAGAAAAAGAGTCAAGTGTCAGCCTCCATGTTGCTGTGGGTCTTGGCTACCTGAGACCCTGAAAGGTCTAGCTCAACTGCCCTTGTGAAAGGAGGCCAGAGTCCCAGAGGACCCTTGAAGGACAGGCTCAGGAGGCTGACTTCTGCCTCAGGAACCCTCATGACACCTATAGGAAGAAATAAGCTTCAAGGGATCTCCCAGCTGCCATCCAGTGCCAAGGCTGCCCCCCACTCTTGGTGGCTTCCCTGCAAGATGCCCCCACTTCTCCCTCACCACTCTGAGGGCCAGGGTATTACACCATCTGCGGCCAAGTCCAGCCTGTCACCTGTACTTTAGCCCTTGAAGAACCACCCACGCCCCACATGCAAGTCCCTACCAGACACTCTCCTGGCATGGGGCATGTCTCCCCATATGGAAGGTGAGACTGACATCCGTTTCGGGTCCAAGTACACAACATTAACTGTTAATCCAATCACAAAGCAACCTGTCACAAGCCACAAAGTAAGACTTCCTAATTGTACCTAAAATGCCAGCATGTCCTTCAACCAGCTGTGCCTTGAACTCTGCCTTGACCTTTGAAAGGAAATCTGATATCCAGTAAATAAGACCCAGAATGGGAGCAACATGAGCAGAGATGACCAAACGAGAGGGAGGAGGAACTGTGGGCCAAGGACAGCCCAAGGCCCTGAAGGGCTGCCAATGGTCCCACCCACAACTGGCTGGCTAATTTGTAAGTTCTTGCCAGTTCTGAGACCAGGGTTTTTTAAAGAAACTGTCTCTATGCTTCAGGATGTTCTGTCAAAGGTGCATTCTTGCCTTTCCTTATGAGGAAGGAAAAGATTACCTAGACCTGAGTGAAGGTGGACAGACAAGAAAAGTCAGACGAGATCTGGGCTCCACTGCCGACCACCTGCTCACTCACACTCTCCCCCTCAACATTCCCCTATGAGTTTCATCTGAATCTCAGCGGAAAACCAGTTTTTTCCACATCAAACGAACAGGTATTAACTCTTACTTATAAAAAAATTACTCCTGCCCGGCCAGTGTGGCTCAGCGGTTGAGCATCGACCTATGATTGAAGAGATCACAGTTTGATTCCCGGTCAGGGCACATGCCCGGGTTTTGGGCTTGATCCCCACCCAGCAGGGGATGTGCAGGAGGCAGCTGATTAATAATGACTCTCTCATCATTGATGTTTTTCTCTCTCTCTCTCCCTCTTCCTTCCTCTCTCTGGAATCAATAAAAAAAAAAATTACTCCTTGTGAAAAATCCATATGTAACAGTAAAGCTCAACAAGAGCCCCTTTACTATCCCCACAGTGGCCCTGGGGAACCATGGTCACCAGGTTTGCCATAATCCTCCTGACTTTGTTCCTGTAACTTTGTATACGTACATACATGTTTCTACAGACTTTTTTTTTAATCCTCACCTGAGGATATTTATTCCATTGCTTTTCAGAGAGAGTGGAAGAGGGAGAGAGAGAGAAGCATTGATGTGAGAGAGACAAACATCCATCGGTTGCCTCCCACATTTGCCCTGACTGGGGCTAGCGATAGAGCCCATGGGGAATCGAACCCAGGACTCCAGTTCTTGGGCTGCTGCTATAACCACTGAGCAAAACCAGCTAGGGCGACAAACATGTTTTAAGAGGCAGCATAGCTGAGGCATGCTATGATCATGACTCAGCACACTTCCCACATTAGCATACACCACTCCTCGGCATTGCACTCAAATGATATGTGGACCAGAAGTTAACCATTTCCGTATCAGGGAGCACCCTGGTTTTTTTTTTTTACCATTAAGCCCCAGGCTCAAATGTGCATCTTTGTGAATGCCTTCATAAATAAGCATTGTAGATACGGATGAATATTTCTCTAGGTAGCTACAGAGAAATCAAATTACTGGCCCTGTTCATTTAAATTTTAATAGATATTGCCAACTGCCATCTATAGTGGTTGTACCAATTTCCATGAACAGATACCAACAAAGTTAAGACAAATGACAGTATGAAAGGAAAAATATATGCATATAAAACAGAATCAATATCCAGAAGGCATAAACAACTCCTATGAGTCAATAAAAAGAAAAAAATTCTAATGGGGCAAAGGATGTAGACAGGAAGTTCACAGAAGACAGCTGTCAACCTCACTAGTAATCAGCAATTCAAAATAAAACAAAGGCCCAGCCAGTGATGCTCAGTGGTTGAACGTTGACCCATGAACCCAGAGATCACCAGATCAATTTCCAGTCAGGGCACATGCCAGGGTTGCAGGCTTGATTCCCAGTAGGAGGCAGGCAGGAGGCAGCCGATCCATGTTTCGCTTTCATCCATGTTTCTCTCTCTATCCCTCTCCCTCTCTCTAAAATCAAAACATTTTTTTTAAAAAACCAAAACAACAGCACTTTTAAATCTATTAGATTATTAAAATGAATGAAATTATGGTATAAAAACGTGCTGATCAGGTTTTGAGGAAGTGTGTGCTCTGATACACTGCTGGTAACAACATGCCAGGAACTCTCTTTCCTCGTACATTCAAACACCGAATCCCCACAGTGACATTGAGGCAGGGCCCTATTATAATCATTCTGATCTTCAGATGAGGAAAGTCACTTATACCAAGGTCCCTCAGCTAGCAAGAAGCTTGTCATTTGTTACATATACCATAGTTTCTTCTCATACTTACTTGCATGATTTTGTGTTATTCAATTTGGGTGTGTTTTTTAAGGTTTTTTGTTTTAATTTATTGATTGATTGATTTTGATATTAGAAAGAGAGAGGAATGGGGAGAAACATCTGTTTGTTATTATTCCACTATTTCTGCATTCATTGGCTGATTCTTGTATGCGCTTTGACAGGGAACCAAACTCACAACCTTGGGAGTATCAGGATGATGCTCTAACCAACTGAGCTACCCGGCCAGGGCCAATTTAGTTCTTTAGTCTACTTGTAATTTAATTTGGGGCATGGGATGGGGTAAGGATATAACTTTATTTTTTCCAAGTGGATAGATGTTTCCACATGAACTAATTTAGAATAGGGTCATCTGTCCAGGCTTAGGCACTTGCAGCCCCCTCAAATCTACTCCCTCACTCCAGTGGCCAAAATCGGGCTCTTCCTGGGTCTTCGGGTCTCTGTTTCCCACCCTGCGGCATGGATCCTGACCACAGCAGGGGCTTGGAGACCTAGTATATGTACCCTTGCATGGCAGCCTGGGACAGAAGAGTGGCGATTCAGCTGGCCAGCAGGTCCCGCAGTTCGCTATTGCAGGGCAGAAGATCACATGCTAGTCGTGCCTTCCGATCCCGGACGGCCTTCAGGGCTGGGCTGTGTTGCAACAGAAGGGAGCAGATGTCCATGTGACCCTTCTCAGCAGCCTGTGGAGAGAGCAGCCTGAATCAAAAGTCACACCCTCACTGGGCCCTGCTCTTGCTCTATTTCTGGGGATCTCGGTCCTTGCAGCAATGGAGACACTGGCTATTTGAGTAGACTTCCCCTAATTCCTATCCGATCTCATGACTTGCATACAGATGGGCAGAGTACTCTAAGCCATCCGGGCAGTTAGCTTGAAGTTTTGGTTCTTGTGTTCTTTGTTCAGTGACTATTCTTTTTTCCTTGGGCTACACACTAAAGACAAGTACAAAACCTTGGGTCTCAAAGTGTCTTTTACAAACATTCTGATCATCTACAGGGTGCTGGGCACCATGAGCACAACAGACATCAGACATGCCCCCTGCCCTCTGGGAACTTTCAGATGAGAAGAGGAAAACGGGGCCCAGGTTCCCAGCTTTCTCCTCTCCTCCTCTGAGATAGATGATCCCAATCTGGATGTCAATTTCTAACCTATCTCCAAGAAGTAACAGTTAAGTGATTTACATAAATTATCTTATTTAACTTTCACAGTAACCAGCAGCAGTAAGAACTATCATTATTCCCATTTTATAAATGAAGAAACTGAGACTTATAAAAGTTAAGTGACTTGCCTGAGGTCACAGAGCTAGCGTGGCAGCCTGGGGATTCTAAAGGAGGTCTGCCTGACCTCAAAGTCTGAACTCTTAACAACTGTTATGCCACTGTATTCCCTACTCCTTCCAACAGACAAATTGATGGAACACAGGCGCTTCTGAGAGGTATCAAAATTAATATTAGTAGAAACCATCATCTCAAATTTAAACCCAAATCTTTTTTAGCAGGTCCTCTTAATGAGTACAGACCCAGGTTCTCAATTCTATTGCTTCATTTCAGGCAGTGGTATGTTGTAAGCAATTGTGAGAAGCATTCTAAGTAACTTTTTACCAAAAAAAAAAAGTACCAAGCAGTACTTTAAAGAAAGAAAGTGAGGACCAAGATGGCGGTGGCATAGGACACTGAACTCGCCCCCTCCCATGAGCACTCTGAAATACATGCCCACATAGAGAGAGCAATTCCTCCTGAGACAACTGAGAGTGATTGAACTACTTCTGCACAACAAATGAGAAACTGTGCAGAGAAGGTGGAGAACTGTGGGAGCCCTCCAAGATCTGTAGGAATTCTCCGGGTCAGAGGTGCCAGTGAACACCATGGTTTACATTTCCCTGCACCGCCACAGGGCAGGGAGCAGCTCTATCCAGGTGCTCTAGCCTACATGCAAGGTCACTGCAGTGCTTTCCCAGCCACATCACCCAGAGCCCATTCCGGCTCTGAAGGAAGGAAGCAAGCAGGATCAACAGGGCATTTCTACATGCACCTGGCCTCCCCATCTGGAGCTGCCTTAGCCTGGCAGGCCAGTGCCCAGGGTACTGTAAATGCCCACCTGGCTCCAATGGCCTGCCAAAACCACCCAGCACACAGAGCTTACACAGGGGTCACTTCTACACAAGGCCACTTTTTCAAGACTGGAAAAGACAGCTATTTTGTCTAATTATATAAATTAGAACATCAAACAAAATGAGAAAATGAAGGAATATCTCGTAAGCAAAGGAACAAGAAAAATCCCCAGAAAAAAATCCTAATGAAACAAAGATAAATCGTTTATCTGATAATGAATTCAAAGAAATGGTCATAAGGCTGCTCACCAAACTTCAGAGTAAAATAGAGAAACTTAGGGAGAACTTCAACAAAGAGAAAGTATAATAAGAACCAAGCAGACCTGAAAAATACAATGAGTGAAATGAAAAATACAGTTGAATTAACATCAGATTAGCTAATACAGGAGAATGGATCAGCAACCTGGAAGCCAGACTAGTGGAAATCAACCAATCAGAACAGCAAAAAGAAAAAAGAATTTTAAAAATGAGAATAGTTTAAGGGACCTCTGGGACAACATCAACCACACAAACATCACATTATAGGGATCCCAGAAGGAGAAAGAGATAAAGGAACAAACTTTCCTAACCTGGGAAAGGAAACAGACACTCAAGTCCAGGGAGCACAGCGAGTTTCAAACAAGAAGAATATGAAGAGACCCATACCAAGACATATTGCAATTAAAACAGCCAAAGTTAAAGATAAAGAGACAGCCCTGCTGGCAAGGCTCAGCGACTGAGCATTGACCTAGGATCCAGGAGATCGTGATTCAGTTCCCAGTCAGGGCACATGCCTGGGTTGCAGGCTCGATCTCTGGTAGGAGGTGTGCCGGAGGCAGCCAATCAATGACCCTCTCATCACTGATGTTTCTATCTCTCTGTTTCCCTCTTCCTCTCCCTTCCTCTCTCTAAAAACAATAAAAATATATTTAAAAAAATAAAATGATAAAGGTTGGCAAACTTAAAAAAAAAAAAAGACACAATCTTAAATGCATAAAGAGGCAAACAAGTCGCATACAAAGGAAACCCTATAAGGCTATCCATTGATTTTTCAGCAGAAACTGTACAGGACAGAAGGGGGCGGCAGGACATATTTAAAGTGCTAAAAGGAAGGAACCTACAACCTAGAATATTTTACTGGGCAAGGTTATTATTCAGAATTGAAGGAGAGACAAAAAAAAAGTTTCCTGGACGAACAAAAACTTAAGGAGTTCATCACCATTAAACCAGCTTTACAAGAAATGTTAAAGGGTCTTCTTTAAGCAGAAAAGGAGAGGATATAACCAGAAACAAGGAAATATGAGAAAGTAAAAAAACCTATAGCTAAAGGCAAATGTTTAATAAACATAGCAAATCAGCCACTTAAAAAGCTACTATGATAAACAGACCGACAAATCTCAGAGGGAAGGTGGGGGTGGGTGGGAAGAGATTAACCAAAGAACTTATATGTATAACCCATGGACATAGACCACAGTGTGGTGAAGGCCTGGGGCGGGGTAGAAGGCGTCAATGTGGAAAAAAAGAGAACATCTGTGATACTTCCAACAATAAAGGTAAATTAAACATTTTTTTTAATTAAAAAAAAAGCTACTATGATAAGACAAAAGACAAAAATACCAAACTCAACAAAAACCACAAGTAGTTAGGAAATACACAAAACAAAAAGATTTAAAATATGACCTCAAAGCATAAAGCATGGAGGGAGGGGGAGCAAAAATGTCCTTTTAGAATATGAGAACTTATATGCCTATCAGCTTAAAATAGATAGCTAAAAATATAGGATGATATACATAAACCTCATGGTAACCACAAACCAAAAACCTACAAAAGACACAGAAAAAAATAAAGAGAAAGGAACCCCCCAAAAGAATAAAGAAAACCAGCAAACCACAAGGTAAGAGATAAAGAGAAGAAATAAGAAATAGAGAGGAACTACAAAACCAACCAAAATAACAAAACGGAAATAAGTGCACACGTACCAATAATGACTTTAAATGTATTAAATGCTCCAATAAAAACACATAGGATGGCTGAGTGGATTAAAAACCATGACCATCTATATGCTGCTTATAAGAGACTCACCTGAAATTGACAGACACATTCAGACTGAAAGTGAAGGGATGGAAAAAGACATTTCATAAAAGAAATGAAAAGAAAGCTGGGGTAGCAATGCTTATATCAGACTAACTAGACTTTAAAACAAAGAATGTAAAAAAAGACAAAGAAGTACATTAAATAATTATAAAGGGACCAATCTCAAAAGAGGATATAACAATTGTAAATATCTACACACCCAACATAGGAGCACCTACCTGTATAAAGCAATTATTAATAAACATAAAGGGAGCAATCTACTACAGTAATACAACAATAGCAGGGGATCTTAAATTTTATTTATTTATTTTAATCCTCACCCAAGGACATGCTTAGAGAAAGGAACAGAGAGAAAGAGAGAGAAACATTAATCGGTTGCCTTCTGTCCGTGCCTCAACGGGGAATGAACCCACAACCCCAGTAGGTGCCCTGCCCGGGAATCAAACTGGCAACCTTTCGGGGCACACGACGATGCTCAACCAACCGAGCCACTGCGGCTGGGCAAAGCTGACAAAACTTACAAACCTTTAGCTAAACTTACAAGAGAGCCCACATAAATACCATGAAAGAGGAGCCCTGGCTGGTCTGGCTCAGTGATTAGGGCATCAGCTGTGGACTGAAGGGTCTTAGGTTCAATTCTGACCAAAGGCAGGGACCTGGGTTGCAAGCTGGATCCCCGGCCCTGGCGGGGCAGGGGGGGGTGCAGGAGGCAGTCAATTGATGTCTCTCTCTCTCTCTCCCTTCCACTCTCTGAAAAGCAATGGAAAAATATCCGAGTGAGCATTAAAAAAAGAAAAGTTTTGATTTTTCAGTAACAATGGAAACTTTCCTTGATTCCCTAATTATTAACCAGTCAGCAGGAAGTTGTGAGTCACCAACACTCAACAAGCTAAAACTTTAATGTTCATTAATGATTAATGCTCATATCATGATCCATAAGTTTAAGGACACAAAGTTTCTATCTGTTTACAAGGAAAAATAAGAGGAACCCATAATTCTAAAATTGAAAGGGATTAACAAATCACCCTATGATGAACCTGTAGTCTGGTTTGAGTTTTTGGGAGGCTGATTTTACTCTAGGTTGGCTTACCACCTTGCTGACCGGTCACAAGTTAACTTGTGTCTGCACTTCACTGCTTGGCACTTATTTTGGCTGCACCTGGTTTTCCTCTTTATTTGCCTGCCTTTTTCTCAACTTGTCAGTATTTCCAGAGATGTGATGAGCAATACAGCTAATTCTTTCCATCCATCTATTATTATGGCAAAAGTTTTATAAAAGACACTTTGTGGCAGAATAGAACATTTGAGCGAATTACGTGCAGATACTTTGTCTGACGGGCTGAGTGACTTTGGTAGTCAGCTGGAAGATAGTACTTTGTCTGAAGACAGTAATGACTCTGACATTAGACCATCACAAAGGCAAAAGAGAAATGTGATAGTATCTAACAGTGAAAGTGATTCTGAAGAAGAATGGGCAAAAAAAGACATTTTACCAGCCTTGGAGGATTATACAAATATTTCTGGCATAACTGTTCAATTTGAAAACCTACAAAGTATAAGTAAAGTAACCAATTTATTTTTTGATAAGGATTTTTTTGATCTCATTACTTCTCAAACCAATTTACACCATCACCAAATGGAAAAATACCAGAAACCTCTGCTAAAACTTCACCATGAGACATTACCTATATGGATATAAAGAAGTTTCTTGGTTTAAAATAAATAAATAAAATATTTAAAAATATTAAAACATATGCACTATGTTTAATTTTGATGTATGGTAATATAAGATATGACAAATAAAGTACATTTAAGTTTATTCAGATGATTTTATTTAATATTCAAGTGCAGAAAAGTAGCCAGCTATGTGGGCGAGTTCTGGCTCTAAATAGCTGGTCAGAAAGGTGTTTAAGACTTACGTGATGAAACACTGAACATTTTCATTCCTATTTAAACTGAAAAACAATTTAATGTCTTAAGTGTTGTAGTTTAATCAGTAACATAATGATTTATTTTCTATTACTGAGTCCCCTTCACAGATATATCCGTCATGACAATAGACAATTCCTTCAAAATAAGGAAATGATGCCCTAGTCGGTTTGGCTCAGTGGTTAGAGCATCGGCACTCGGACTGAAGGGTCCTGGGTTCAATTACAGTCAAGGGCATGTACTTCCCTTACAGGCTTGATCCCCAGCCCCGGTGAGGCAAGTGTAGGAGGCAAGCAATTATGTGTCTCTCTCACATCGATGTTGCTTTCTCTCCCTCCCTCTCCCTTCTACTCTCTCTGAAAAGCAATAGAAAAAATAAATTCCAGTGAGGTTTAAAAAAAAAAAGATTAGCCCAGCTGGCATGGCTCAGTGGTTGAGCATCAACCCATGAACCAACAGGTCCCTGGTTTGATTCCCAGTCAGGGCACATGCCTGGGTTGGGGGCTTGATCCCCAGTGGGGGGGGGGTGATGAGGGAAGCAACTGATCGATGTCTCGCTCTCANATTCCCAGTCAGGGCACATGCCTGGGTTGGGGGCTTGATCCCCAGTGGGGGGGGGGTGATGAGGGAAGCAACTGATCGATGTCTCGCTCTCATTTATGTTTCTATCTCTCTATCCCTCTCCCTTCCTCTCTTAAAATAATTTTTTTAAAAATTAAAGAGGAGATATTACAACCAAATTTGTAATGGTTACAAATTTGTAATATCATTAAAGGAGACCAACAAACTGGACAACCTAGAAAAAAATGGGTAATATTCTAGAAGCGTACAACCTTCTAAGACTGAACCAGAAAGAAATAGAATATCTAAACAGACTGATTACTAACATAAAATTGAAGCAGTAGTCAAAAAACTCCCAACAAACAAAAGTCCTGACCAGATGGCTTCACAGGTGAATTCTACCAAACATTTACAGAAAAATACTTATCCTTTTTAAATCATCCCAAAAAATAGAAGAGGAAGGAATGCTTCCAAACTCATTCTATGAAGCCAGTATTTCTCTGAAACCAAAACAAGACAAACACATTACATACACACACACAAATTATAGGTCAATGTCTTTAATGAACATAGATGCAAAAATCCTCAACAAAATAACAGCAAACCAAATTCAGCAATACATTAAAAAGATCATACATCATGATCAAGGGGCATTTATTCCTGGGATGCAAGGATGGTTCAATATCAACTTGATATACCTCATAAACAAAATTAAGCATATAAATCCTATGATCACATCAATAAATGCAGACAAAGCATGTGACAAAAGCCAACATCCATGTATGATAAACTCTCAGCAAACTGGGCACAGAGAAAAAAATACCTCAACCTAATAAAACCCACAGCTAACATCACACTCGATGAAAAGCTGAAAGCTTTTTGTTTAAGATCAGGAACAAGGCAAGAATTTCCACTTTCACCACTTATATTCAATATGGTACTGGAAGTTCTAGTCACAGCAATCAGACAAGAAAAAGAAATGAAAAGCATCCAAATTGTAAAGGAAAAAGTAACTGTCGTTATTTAAAGAGGACATGACACTATATTAGAGAACCCTAAAAGATTCCACCAAAAAACTATTATAACTAATAAATGAATTCAGTAAAGTAGCAGGATACAAAATTAATATTCAGAAATCAGTTTCATTTTTATACACCAATAAACTATCAGAAAAAGAAATGAAGAAAACAATTCCATTTATAGTTGTTTCAAAAAGAATAAGATACCTAGGAACAGATTTAACCAAGAAGGTCAAAGACTTGCACTTGGAAAGCTATAAGACACTGAAGAAAGAAACTGAAGAAGATACAAATAAATGGAAGCACATACCATGTTCATGTATCATTTAACAAGTAGCAGTATTTTTAAAACATGCATACTAATAAAATAAATGTGCAAACTACCCAAAGCAATCTAGTTTCAATGCAATCCCTATCAAAATACCAATGGCATTTTTCACAGAACTACAACAAATAATCCTAAAATTTATATGGAACCACGAAAGATTCCAAATAGTCATAGCAATCTTGAGGAAGAACAAAAAGTTGGAGGTACCTGATATGAAACTACACTACAAGGCTAGAGTAACCAAAACAGCATGGTACTGGCATAAAAACAGATACATAGATCAATGGAACAGAATAAAGAGCCCAGAAATAAACCTATGCTTATATGGTCAATTAATATACAACAAAGGAGGCAAGAATATACAATGGAGTAAAGACAGTCTCTTCAATAAATGGCAAAACTGGACAAATACATGTCAAAAAAATGAAACTAGATCACTTTCTTACACCATATACAAGAAGAAACTCAAAAGAGATTAAAGACTTAAATGTGAAGCTTGAAACCATGAAACTCTTAGAAGAAAACAGAGGCAGTCAACTCTTTGACATGGCTCTTAATAATATTTTTTTGGATATGTCTGCTCAGGCAACGTAAACAAAAGAAAAAATTGAAACAAACGAGACTACATCAAACTGAAAAGTTTTTGCACAGCAAAGGAAATCAACAAAACAAAAGGACAACCTACCAAATGGGAGAAGATATTTGCCAATGATACATCAGATAAGGGGTTAATATCCAAAATGTAAATAAGGAACTCATACCAAAAAAGCAATCCCATTAGAAAATGGGCAGAAGACCTGAATAGACATTTCTCCAAAGAGGACATACAAATGGCCAACAGACATATGAAAAGATGCTCAACAATACTAATCATCAGGGAAATGCAAATCAAAATTACAATGAGATATTACCTCACATACGTCAGAATGGCTACCATCAATAAATCAACAAACAAGTGTTGGCAAGGATATGGAGAAAAGGGAACCCTCATACACTGTTGGTGGGACTGTAAATTGGTGAAGCTACTATAGAAAACAGTATGGTGGTTTCTCAAAAAATTAAAAATATAACTACCATATGACCCAGCAATTCCACTTCTGGGTATTTATCCAAAGAATCCCAAAACACCAGTTCAAAAAGATATGTTCATTGCAGGATTATTTACAACAGCCAAGATATGGAAGCAACCTAAGTGTCCATCGATAGACAATGAATAGTTGAAACAATTAAGAAATAAGCAATCTGCCTCTCCAACTGGCAAGGATCTTAAAACAACATCCAGTTGTTCACACATATTCATCGAGCACCTGTGCTCAGTGCTAGGGCTACAACAGTAAACAAGATCAAGTCCCTGCCATCTCTTGTGAGACAGGCTCAAAGAAGGAGTTTCAGGGGGGAGAAGAGTTAGGAAAAGTCAAGTACAGGGTGCTTTGGGACACGGAGTTGGGGGAGCTCCCCATGTCTGAGGAACAGGAAGGCATTTTGAGCGTGTGATGCAGAAGCTGAGGAAGGACAGAATGAAGACCGGACAAAGCCAGATTGAAAAACAGTAGAGGAGAGGCATCCAGGAGGACCAGCTTAATTTACACCACCCTGGAGTGTCTGAAGAGTAGGATCAGAACACTGAAAAAGACTAGCAGGGAAGGGACAGGGGACAAAAGCTCAAGATAAACAAAAGGGAGGAAATGCTTACATCTTCCCTTGATGTGCACGCAAGTGTAACGTTTCATTGTTCAAGGATTTTCTGATATATTTATACATCTGGCTTCCTAAAAGTTAAGTTGGTAAGAACACAATGTGAAAGCTATGTTCTTAACACATGTTATAGTGTACCGCACAGCACTGTTAACTACAGGCACAGTGATGAGAAGTGAGCACTGAGATTACAAATGGTTTTTATTTTCTACTTTATGCTTTTCCGTTTTCCCTTTGTTCCCTATGGTGAACATACTGTACCTTTTATAATGACAAAGAACAAGTTTTTGAAGGGGAAGAGGAAGCATACCTTATGTAGACTGGTCATGCCATCGTCATCTACCAGCCTGGGGTTGGACCCATGTGAGAGCAGAAGCCGTGCAATCTCAGTGTGCCCACAGTAGCTGGCCCGGTGCAGGGCGGTGGCTCCCCCACGTGTCTGGGCATCACACTTGGCCCCACTTTCCAGCAGGAACTGGCATACTGCATAGTGCCCATTGCGGCTGGCGTAGTGCTGCAGGGAATAGAGATCAAGGTAGGACAGCAGAACCAGGCAGGCAACAGAGGTGGGGGGAGGGGAGCAGAGGCCTGGACCCTCTCGGGGCTGCCTCCATCAGCTGTGTGACCTGAGCAAATGTCTTCATGGCTGGCATCAGTTTCCTCAATCATTTCTACCTCATAGGATTGTTATGAAAATGAAATTAAACAACTCATGTAAAGCACACTAATTAAAAAAAACAGGTTTGCCCCGCCGGCATGGCTCAGGGGTTGAACATCGACCTAGGATCCAGGTGATCGCAGTTCGATTCTGGTCAGGGCACATGCCCGGATTGCAGGCTCAATCCCCAGCAGGGGGCGTGCACGAGGCAGCCAATCAATGACTCTCTCATCATTGATGTTTCTGTCTCTTTCTCTCCCTCTCCCTTCCTCTCTCTGAAATCAATAAAATATATTTAAAAAACAAACAAAACAGGTTCACAGGACACGTGAAAGAGAAACCCTGTTGGGAGAGAAGAATGGGAGGGACGAGAAAAGATAACCTCAATCCCCCTCAGAGAGCAGGGTCCCCAAGCGGACCCCAAGTTCCTCCCAGCTCACCAGGGCGGTGTAGCCGGCCAAGTCGGGCTGACTGGGGTCCACTGCCTTTTGGATTAAATACTTCACTCGGCCTAGGTCTCCATTCAGGGCTGCTGACCAGATTCCTGTGGAAAGACAACCAAAATACTGAATGCTGCTGAGAACCTTTAATGTTTTCTTCATCTCCTGACCTCTGTTTTTTCACCCATAACATTGGTGAGAAATGGGTGTTTGGTTAACATTCATTCAGCAAACATTAACCAAGCACCTCCTCTGTGCCAAGGATTGTCCTAGGTGCCAGTGACATAGCTGTGAACTAGACAATGAGCTTGCTTGACCAGGGCAGGAGGATTGGGGAGACACAAAAATCCCTTCTCCCCACTTCAAATACACAAATGTTAAGTAATGTTTAAAATGTTTGAATATATAATCAAATTCCAAAGCAAAAAAATTGCCAGGTGCCAGAACAAGGAGAAAACCACAGCCAAAGTGGTAAGCAAGCACTGAGTCTGTAGGATCCAAAAGAGTCCTCACAAATAGACACACCTCGGGGCTTGTGCTCCAACCGCTGAGCAGGGTATGGAGCAAAGGCTGCAGGCCACGTGCGTGGCAGGGAACCAGATAAGGCTATGTATACAAAGCCAGAGGTGGCACATCATGGATGAACCAGGACTGAAAAATCTCACTCTCTTGCCTTGTGTAGCAGCAGGAAGCAAGTTGCCATGCCCAGGCCCTTCACTAATTCAGCAAATATTTACTGAATACTTACTATGCATCTGGCAATGTTCTGGGTACTAAGGGTCAGCTGAGAATAAAAGACCCTCCTCCCAAATTTTGGTCTTATGGAGCTTATATTCTAATTAGAGACAGACGAGGAGAAAAAAATGTATATATATATATGTGTGTGTATATATATACACACATACATATGAAATAAGTCAGGTGATGCTAAGTGCTATAAGAAAAATAAGGGGGTATATGCAGTGGTCAGGGATGGCATCTCTGATAAGGTGACATTTGAATAGAAACCTAAAGGAAATGAGAAACAGCCCCATTTGAATAGGTGTGATGAGAAGACAGCAAAGGCAGAAGCGGCCCAACAAATCAGATGCCCTAATCTACGAAACTTAGAGGTGTGGGACTTGTATCTACCTACATTACCCTTAGAGAGCAAACCCCCAAGCTAAGGGTCTGTCATAAAAATTGATCCAGACAAGTGAAACCTATAAGGGCCAGTCAGAGGCAACTTTTAAAAATGCCCCATAAGGATGCTTCTACTAGCCAACAAGGTATATGCGAGAATCTCTTACAAAAGAGGACTCCAGCCTAGTGAGCTCAAAGATTAGATGTTGGCAAACAAGAAGCAATCCACTGCCATGCAAGACATTCAGCATGCTCCAAAAACTAGCCATATAATGCAACCTAAGACTTTAAAACAACATTTAACGTGTTCACGGAAATAAAATAGAATCCACAAATCAAGAGTATTGGGGGGGAGCAGGCAGATCTGAAACAAAAGTTAATAAATTAATAAGTAGAATCATTAAAATAAAACAACAACAGATGAGTCAACAGTACTGCAGACCCAGCTGAAGAATTAATGATTTGGAAATCACCCAGAATGCAGAAAGGTAAAGAGAAAACTATTAAAGAGGTAAAGAAACATAGAAGACAGAATGTACCAAAATGTGTCTAATACACGCTTCAAAAATAGAAAACAGAGAGAGAAAACTGGATAGGAGAAAGGCAATGTTTTAAGAGATACACCTGAGAATTATTCTAAAGTAAAGACAACAATGAATTCTCAGATGAAAGATCACATTAAACCCCAAGGAGGATTAATAAAAACAAATTTGGCACAGTGACATGACTGAATATCAAGAATAAAAAAGTTATGCCCAGCCGGCATGGCCCAGTGGTTGAGCATCAACCTATGATCCAGGAGATCCGCCGTCAATCTCGGTCAGGGCACACACCCAGGTTTCGGGCTCCATCCCCAGTAATGGGTGTGCAGGAGGCAGCTGATCAATGACTCTCATCATTGATGTTTCTCTCTCTCTCTCTCCCTCTCCCTTACTCTCTGAAATCAATAAAAACATATTAAAAAAAAAAAAAAAAGAATAACCTACTGAATAATTACAATCAGGTTATCAGCAGAATTCTTAACAGCAGCGGTAAGTACAAGAAGATAAAGGAATAATATTTCCAAAGGACTGAGGGGGGTAAAATTAACTGTCAACCTAGAATTTTACACTGGCTACCTCTCAACTGTGTGTGTGTGTGTGTGTGTGTGTGTGTGTGTGTGTGTGTGTGTGTG